ACAGACAGACTGTTAGAAAGATAGTTAAGAACACAGTTTCTGTGATCAAGCTATTTGAATGCTTTGTGCCATTGTTTCCCCATTTAGCCAATTGGGGACAATATAAATACCTATAAACAGTGGCAAAGACCAGTTTGACTAATGCATGTAAAACACTTGGGGTTCCTCATACCTGCTAGGGGCTATGGCCTTGCTGATTGTTATCAGCCAGAGTGGTGGTATAATAAGAACTATGGTATATTATGTTTTCACGGGGAAGGGGATCATATTTGTGTTACTTTAACATAGTTTGCTGGTTGTTTGTATTTTCTGAGCACTTGGTTTGGCCATTGATGCAGCAGCTTACTTACTCTGTGCTGTGAATCACTGCATCTTTCTCTCCTGTAGGTGCCTTAATGTTTGTGGCATGGATGACCACAGTTAGCATAGGAGTACTGGTTGCCCGGTTCTTCAGATCTGTGTGGTCCAAAGCTTTCTTTCTTGGTGAAGCAGTTTGGTTTCAGGTAGGTGACAGCAAGGGCTTAAAGCCATTTCCGTGTTATTCAAACACTGTGATGTGAAGTTTGTATGCTTTGGATTTTACATTATTCACTGTGTGTGTAAGTCAGAGAACAACTTCTGTGAGTCAGTTTTCTTCTACCATGTAGGTTCTGGGATCACTTGGGTCATTGGGTTTCACAGCAAGTCCATTAACTGCTAAGTCATCTCCCTGGCCCACATGAGCTTTTCTTTTTCTTTTTTCAGTTACAGCTATTGCAGATCTTAGATCCATTCCCCCTTCCCCAGTTTCCTAAGCAACTGAGGGCCAATGCAAGATTCCTTACCATGTCTGGCTTTGTGATGAGCCTGCTGAATTGGAGAACATGTCAGGGTCAAATGGTGCTTCCTTACCCCTGAGTTTGTAGTGGGAGGAGCTAAGAGAGATTCACTCACAGCACTAGTCAGTTTGAGTCAAGGAGGGCTGGTAAAGAGGAGAAAGAAATGGTGGTGCTCACTGCACATCATCAGGCTTGTGCAGCAAGCATCTTTACCCACTGAGCCATCCTGTCTGTCCTTCTGCTATGCTTAAACATATGCTATTGATGTGTGTATATGTTAGTGACATTCAGAGAAACTTATAGGGTCACATCTATCATACTATACATCATGTAGGGTAACCTTTTTCTGGAATAATTTTGACATAAACCAGTCGTCCAATACATAATAGTGCCTACTCTCATTCTTAATATTTTCGTGTTTTTACGCAAAGAATTATATGTCCCAAATAGTGATCTTTTATCTTCTCTGATTACACTGCAAGCCCTGCAGAATATGGTGTTTTTGGTTTCCTCGCTGTACCTCTGCACATGGCATAGCACTCTGCATGGTGACAGAGCCTAATACATGCCTTTGGAAGGAAATGAAGGTCTTGGCAAGTAAATGTGCTTTGTGTGTGAGACATCCATTCCTGCCGTAGGGAGCAGGTGAACCCTTAGTGAGCCCTTTTGAATGATGAGATGGCTTCGTGGAGTTTTCTTTAGCTTAATGGTCTATGACATTTTGTTTTTACTGTTTTGATGTAAGTGGGATGTTTGCCTTCAGTGAATCTCCCATGATTGTCCCGCTGTGACACCAGATGTCTTTTATACAGTTAGCTATCTTCTCACCTTGCCATCTCCCCTTGCAGGTGCATCGGATACTCATGCTTGCTACATCTGTGCTCACCTGCATTGCTTTTGTTATGCCTTTTGTGTACAGAGGAGGCTGGAGTCGGGTAAGGATGCCTTCAACAGGATGCTTCCCTATAAATCTGTTTTGATGTCAAAGCAGATTGCTACTTTATTCTCAGAGGTGGATAATGAGACATTTCTGTGCACATCCCTTTTTCCTTTTTTGAGTTATCTGATGACTTCACCTGGTTGGGGATCAGGAATGAAGGGAGACTGTGAATACAGATTACTTGGCACTGAAATGTATTTTTAGACTATATCATAGTTCATGTAGTCCTTTAGTGAGTGTGTTTTTCTTCTAGAATGTTGAAAATTAGAAGTATGATACCTAAGATTTATTATTTATATATATTTATTTAATTTATGTATTTATTTTTTGAGATATTTTCTCTCTCTCTCTCTCTCTCTCTCTCTCTCTCTCTCTCTCTCTCTCTCTGTCTTAATTTGAGACAGGGTTTCCCTGGCTGTCTTGGAACTGTCTGTAGACCAGGCTGGCTTTGAACTCAGAGATCCATCTACATCTGCCTCCCGAATGCTGGTATTAAAGGCATGAGCCACCACAGCCCAGCTATTTTTGTTATTTTAATGATGCATATTTGTGTGGATCTGTGTAATTCTACCACCAGGAAGCATAGTGGTTGTATGCTGCCTGTTGTGGATGCTGGGAACTGAAGTTGGGTCCTCTGGGAGAGTAGTAAGCACTCTTAACTGCTGAGCCATCTCTCCGGTCCAAGTGTGATGTCTAAGAAACAGGATCAGTTGAAGTGGCTTTCTCTTTGGATTGTCTTTAAGCTAATAGAAGTTGCAACTCTATTATATGGGCAGTCTTGATAAGTGCTGTATGTATGTTACCAATTTAAAAAAATTAATTAAAATATAACAATTACATCACATCTCCCTTTCCTTTCCTGTCTTTCCTTTAACCCTTCCCATGTCTCCTCTCTCCAACTCTTCCCATTTCTCCCTCACTCCTCAAATTGAGGGCTTCTTTTTCTTTGATTATTAGTCTCATTCTCTCTCTCTCTGTCTCTCTCTGTCTGTCTCTCTGTCTCTCTCTCTCTCTCTCTCTCTGTCACACACACACACACACACACACACACACAAGCACACATACAATACACTGCAAACATAAATATATAATATAAACTTCTGTGTTCATTTAGTGTTGCTTGTGTCTATATGACTTCAGGATTGACTCTTTGTGTTGGATAACCAATTAGTGAGATCATCCCTGGGAGAGGCTAATTCTCCCCATCTCAGTAGTCATGGTGCCTGTGGCACTTTGTCTAGGGGTGGGGCTTTGTGACATTTCCATTTTTTGACATCTGTGTTAGCTTATTGGTGATATTGCTCAAGCCTTAGTTAGGCTAAGGGTAGTTTCTATGACACACAGTCTCACAGCAGACTTCCTGGTCCTCTGCCTCTTAGTTATTCCATGTCCTCATTTACAATCTATATGGTTTTAAATTTGATTTAAATTGCCAGGAAAGACTGACTATTAACAATGCCCTTTGTTCAGCATGCAGGCTATCACCCATACCTTGGTTGCACAGTGATGACTTTAGCTGTCCTTCAGCCTCTGTTGGCAACCTTCAGACCACCTTTACATGACCCAAGGTATGGCCAGCTCTCACATATAAAGAAAGGCCCTTAGTGTGTGTGTGTAATTAGATGGGCAACTAATTTCTTTTCAAAGTAGGAACACTTTGCATTTTGTAGCACACAATGATTGATTGTATTTACATTTAAGAACTTTAAAATGGGTTTCAGATACCCAATTCCCTGGCATAAGGGAAATTGCATGCTTCTTATTCTCTTGGGGATAAATTGTTATTCCATCTCTTTAAATGCTACTGACTGGTTCTTTATTTTGGTAGGAGGCAAGTGTTTAACTGGACTCACTGGAGTGTGGGGACAGCTGCTAGAATAATAGCAGGTAAGCAACTGCAATGCCACTTACTCATATATAATTGCTGGCTGTTTACACTGAAAGTTGTAATTTGGCTTAAATGATTTTAGATGCATTAGTAATTGGAGTAATTGGTTGTTGAGGAGAAATCAGCCTGAAACATTGAAATCCAGAAAGTAATTTCTACAAGTAACTACTGAAGTCATTATTTAAGCTTGAAGTTTTAAAAAATGACTTTAAAACTTTAAAACTCAGCCCTTTCTTTTCCATTTCCCCACATTCACCTTTGCAAACAAATGAGGTTATGTTAATGGCCAAACATTCAAGCAGGATAAGTGAGGGCCCCAGGGTGAGGTGGATGAAGTGTGCTGGTATAAGCCCTCCGAGTCCAGGCCATTTCCCTACAATATGTATATGGAGGGCAGATGGTCTCCAGAGGGCAGCTGGAATTATCTGACAGTTTTTCTTTTCAGTACTGGGGATTCAGGACCCAGGGCCTCATAGATGGAAGGCAAGCACACTACCTCTGAGCTACGTCCCCAGGCCTTTTTATAATTTCTATTTTGAGGGTGGCTGTCACCAGTTTGTCAAGTCTAGCCTTGACCTTACTTTATCTCAGACAGTCTTTGAGCTTGTGATCTCCCTGCCTCAGCCTCCGGAACAGCTGGGCATATAAACCTGCACCAGGAATATCTGATTGATACCTAGGGAGGCCCCTGTCACCTCTATATTCTATTGCTTGTGGGATTAAGTACAGGATGAGTGTAAGGTCAGCAGTCATTTCTTCATCTCTCCCGATTCTCTTCACTACAGACTTACATTTCTGGAAAGGCTAGATACCTTTGTTGTTGTTATTGGGATTGGGTATTGAACCCAGGGCTTTATGCTGACTGGCTGCTGCTGTACCCTGAGCTACATCCCTAGCTCGTGGGTACTTTCTTAGCAATTGTTAGATCATAATTTCCTATCTTGTCTTATGTAGTCTTTCACTAAGGAAGACCAAATTATCTCAGCCTCAAAGATTATTCTTTTCATAAATGTTTAACATATTCTAATTAATGTAATGCATCAATTATTCTTTTTCCTGGCCACATATTTGAGCACACTTCCTCCTCATTCCTCCGTAGTGGCTGCCATGTTCCTAGGAATGGATTTACCGGGACTGAATCTCCCCAGTCCACAGAAGACCTATGCAATGATGGGGTTTGTGGTCTGGCACATTGGCACAGAGGTGCTTCTGGAGATACATGCTTATCGGCTCTCTCGAAAAGGTAGCCTGCTTGAGAAGCAACCCAATGCTTGCTACTGTGGGGCTGGAGAGATGGTGCAGGGTATGTGCTTGGGCAAGCTTGTGGACCTGAGTTCAAACCTCCAGCAGCCAGATGACAAGCAGAACATGGTCATGTGTGTCTGTAACCCCAGTGCTGTGCAGGAATGGAGACAGGAGAATGGCTGGGATTTGTTGGCTGCCAGCCTAGCTCCAAGTTTAGTGAGAGATCTTGACTGAAGGAAATAAGGCAGGGTCTCTGTGTGCTTGCATGCACACCCTGCCCCACTCAGGTACAGAACGTTTGCAGCATTTCGTAGCTTGAATGACCAAACCTACATCTTAGAAAATTGGGGACTGTTAGGACTCAGATTTTATCTTATTTTTTTGTGACAACTAGTTTGCTTGCATATCACCATTCTTATAAACTTACATTGTTCTTGACAGTTGAAATATTGGACGATGATAGAATTCAGATCCTTCAGTCACTAACTGTTGCTGAAGCAGAGGTGAGATTCTCCTCTCTTGTTGATTGATGCTGACTTTAATGATGGTGCTTTCTGCTAAATCTCAGTTTTTATTTCAGGGCCATGTTTTTAAGAAGGTGGTGTTGGTGATTTACATATGTGGAAATATGATTTTCCTCGTGATATTCTTATCTGCAATCAACCAAGTATGAGCAAGCGAAGACTTTTTTTGTGGGCCTGGGTCTTATCGCAACAAGGAGACCTGAAGCTTATGCTGACTACCTGGAGTATGTTTTAATTTGAAGACCCATGGGCATGGCAGGAGAGGAATTCTGAAGTCTGGTCTATCTAGATTATATTTATAACCTGTGCATTGATGCTAATCAAGCCTTCAAGTGTTAGTGGGCATCTTAAAAGGGACATTGTACTTGAGGTGACAAGGAGTCTCAACATCCCATGCCAGATTTAAAACAGTAACCTAGAATGATTAGCAAATGAAGGTAGGTATTTCAGGCAAAGGATAAATGGAGATTGTATCTTTGGGGACAAGGCAGGCTTTGTGTAACCCAGGCTGGCCTCCAACTGACTGCATAGCCAAGGATAACCCTGAACCTATCTTTCTGCCTCTGCTTCTGGGTGGTGGGAATACAAGTGCGAAAGCAACACTATATCTGATTTTCAGGGGACTGTAACTTTCATGACAATGCTGCTGTGAGTCCTGAAAAGGAAACATTTATGTTGACTAGTTTTCTTAGAGATCTTAGAGTTTTAAACATCTTTATATTTTGTTGCTTTTATGAACACACACCCACACACCCACACAGACATCCCAAACAAAGAAAACCTACAAGAACAAAACATGTTTTCCAGTCCAGGCTTTGGGACGTTTTCTTTGCTGTGTGTGTTCCATTACTTCTGGTTAAAGGTGGAGATGTGGTTGATTTATCTCGGTATACATTTCATTAACATTTAATTATATTATGAATATTGCATTTTCCTTGTTAGCAGTGAAGTGCAAGTAGGCATCTTATTCTGAGAGATACCATTTATCTTTTCATCCATGGAGCTGGAACAGCATTTTGTTTTTTTTCAGCCCTAAGATTAGTAACTGTAGGAGAGAGAGAGATCAAAGTCATGAATTTCACATTTGCTAAAACTCGCCGTTGTGAGAGTGTCCAGCGGGTGTTCTCGTCTCTTGTGAAGGTAAAATAACATGGATGGGTTCCCTTGGAACATCCTTGGTGCTCTAATAATTCAGCACGGGGCTGTGCCGTTTTCCTTTCTACACACCATTTCCAACCCAATGCTTGCTATGAGGGCTTACAGCCAGTGGGTGGCGCTGTAATACCAGCGGATTTATTTGTTCTTTTTTTTTTTTTTTTTTTTTTTTTTAATGGGGCTATTTCCTTACACTCTAAGGTTCTTAACTTTTTTTTCTTTTTGGGTTAGGATAATAGGTGCTAGAAACTTAGAGACTGGTGCTATTACATTCTGATTTGATTTTTTTGCTTTTTTTAAAAAAATATTTATAATGATTGTTTGATGTTTTCTTTTATATTCCTCAAACCCTGTAGCAAATGAAGATAATTTTCTTAGGCAAAGGCAACAAGTGAAATTGGACATTTTTAAAAAATAAAATAATTGGGAGGGTATATTTTATTTCTTTGGGTATTCTTTCCAATTATGATATAATTTCTACTTGGCCCTAGGACCCTATTTCTGTCTCTGAGTCATGATCTCAGCATCATGTTTTTATTTCTAACCAATAAAGTGAAATTTTTCTTTTTTTTTCTTCTTCACATAGATCTTAGTTAAAAGAAGCTTAGAGTTCAGGTAGGAATTTCCTGTATTCATGTTCAGTGGGTTCCATGTTACAGTTTACGCTATCCCCAGAGAATGCTTTTATTTTACGAGAAAAGGGGCTGTAGTCGGAGTTCAGTTGTGTGATGCTTGAGTAGCATCTATGAGGCCCTGGCTTAGCACTGGAGAAGCCAGACTCTCTGAGTAACAATTTAAAGCTATCTGAAGACATTTTCTTTCAGTTTTCCATTATAAGCTGCTGACGGCCAAAGCATCTCTCTTAATAAGTCATGTTCAATAACTGAAGAGAAAACTTCTTTTCAGCAAAAGGTGGAATTTGCTTGGGCTCTGTTTCCAGATAGGTGAATTTTCTGGATTTCCTACTTCCATTCTGCATATGATTTGAGTTCAGTTAGTGCTGTCTGTACACTCCTGGGTTCGGGACCACAAGCCACACCCTTAAAGAAAACTGACTCAAGCTGCGTGTTGGTGGCATACACCTTTGATCCCAGCACTGGGGAGGCAGAGGCAGGTGGATCTCTGTCTGGTCTACAGAGCAAGTTCCAGGACAGCCTCCAAAGCTACACAAAGAAACCCTGTCTCGAAAAACCAGAAAAAAAAAAAAAAAGCTGACTTACTCCTACCAGAAGCCTGTCCATAGGTCCTCAGGGATGGGTTGCATGGAACTCTTCCCACTCCATGCTAGAGTACCAAGTTGGCTTAATGTTGTGCAGGCAACAGGAGTTCATGACTGGAGTGGTCCTGTTGACTCCCGAATACACTGCTTTCACCCTGTTCCTTCTTCCTCAGGCTCTGGCTCTTACAGTCTTTGTGCCTTTTCCTCTGAGATGGTCCCCAAGTCTTGGGAAAGGTATGATATGGTGTGATATGGATGGTCACTTGTGGCTGACCACTTCACAGACCCTTACTCTCTCACTTTGACCAGCTGTGAGTTTCTGCATAGCATATTCTTTTTACAGGATGCTTGCTTAGGTTTGCTCCTCCATCGGCTTGTGCAAAGGAAATCTGTGTTCCCTTGGGAACACGTTACACCTAGCATGCCTGTTGTTTCCCTGAGGAACACATTACACGCCTTCAGCTCCCTGTGCCTTTTCTCCACAAATCACAAATGCTGCTTCTTGCCCCTCAGGTTTTCTTCTTGTTTCTGTAATAAACAATATGAGTAGTTAAAAATACATACATACATACATACATACATATATACATATATATGTATGCATATATAGATACAAACATATGTGTGTATATATATATCTATATATCTATATATATTTTTTTGATGAGAACAATGGCTAAACTAGATGATTTTCTGTGTTTAGGCATGTTGTCAAGAACAGCCTGTAAAATCATGTTTCCTTAAAGAAGGGATGTTCTTTAAAATAGGGATCAATATGGTTTTCACAAAATGAAAGCATAGGCTATGTAGCGTGCATAAAGTGAGTCCGATTTTGTTTCTGTTAGTTTCCAGTGTGAGGAGATGAAACCAGGACATAGGTGGCCTATAACTTGTTATTGAATATGTGAATCATATTTGTGTTAGCACTTCTCAGTTTGTGTCAGGATTTGGAGCTGTAGGTTAGGTGACACCTCATCTTCCCATATCCGGCTCCCACCCAGGAGGCTGTGGGAAGGATAACACAGCAGATGCCAACCAGGAAGCCGTGGGGGCTGTGTGGCTCTTGGCTGAAAGTCTATTTATCTATGTATTCTAGTGAAGTAAGGGGAAGCAAAGAACAAAGGCCCTTGTTCAAGATAATCCATTATTAATGGAACTAGAGAAATGCTTCTTTTAAAAGCTTGTTATAAACCGGATCAGCCTCCACAGCTCCCAGGTCCATTTTCCTTCCTTGTCTAACCCTGTATCCACAGCCTCTGCACTCACCCACCTGCAGTGCCTTTCTGTCCTAGCCAGAACGGGCAGACTTACGTTTTACTCAAGTTCTTTCCCTGGTGCCTCCTTGTCCTGTTCCCAACACTGTTCCCTCCTTGTCCTGACCATCTTTGTAAGTGAGTGGTGGGATGGGATGCAGCTGTAAATTAGAAAGGGCCAAGGGCTTGGAGGCCTGAGTAGCCACATTTGCTTCTGAGTTCTGTGCTCATGGCAACATCATTTGTCTTCTGTGAGTCCTCTGTGTCACCTTCAAAACCCTATCTCACTAAACTTCATGAGGACTGAGCAAAGCGATGCCAGCCAAAGGTGCTTACTTTGTACCTGTTGTTGGTGCGGTCTCTGCCACTTGATTACAGTGCTAAACTTTAATAGTTTTGTATGTGAAATGTGTACTTTTTTATTATAAGGATATATGATGCTCATCTTGAAAACATTGTGCCAGATGAAATAGTCCAGACACAAAGGACAGTTTATTGTGTTGTGGGGCCCAGCAAGATCAAATGTGCAGAGAGCCAAGGTAGAGTGCAGATTAGTGGTTGGAGAGTGGGTAGATAGGGGATGGGAGCTGTTATTTAAGGAGTATGGTATTTGTCTGGGACAGATAGTGATGATTGTACAACTTTCTGAATGGTTTTAATGCACTGTACTCTGCACTGAAACATGATTGAAATGGGAATAAACAAATGAAAACTAAGAAAAATGTTCACTGTAGCACTGTTCATATCAAATGATGGGTAGCACAGCCCACATGCCCATTGACAGATTGTAGAATGTACATACAGTGGAAAATTGTTCATCCATATGATAAGGCACCGATACCTGCTATAATGTGAATGAACCTTCAAAGTATGCTAAGTAAGAGAAAGCAGAGGCAAAGGTTAACTATTGTATAGCTCCATGTATGTGGAATATTCACAACAACTAAAGCAGTAGAAGCCAAAAGAGTATTGATGCTTGCTTAGGGGCTAAGAGGAGTCGGAGCATGGGAGATAACTCCTTAGTGGGTGTGAACTTTTATTTTGATCTGACAAAATGTCTCAGAGCTTGATAGAGGCACAAGATGAATAACAAGGATTGTCCATTTTAAGACAGCTAAATTTTGTGCTGTTTGACTTTTCCTTCAGTAATACTGTTGCTCTGGGATTTATACCATTGGGTGAAAAAGATCCAGAGGTCGTGCTGGCCATAAACTTAGTTTCAATTTAGTCTCCTATTTTCTTGTCAAAGAAGTTATGTGATTATATACTGCCTGGTCTTATAACTCTGTTTTTTGGGGGTGAGAATGGTCCAAAAATATACTAAGAAATTTTTCTTTTTCATATGACAGTGTATTCACATATAAGGTGATTACACTGTGCTCTGCTTCCCGCAATAATGTTTTAGCTTTTCACTCAGACCCTGATAATGGTGATCAGAATAAATTTCCTCAAACCATGGATTCTAAATACCTGATGTTCACTGACCCTATATCTTGATGTTCAAAAAACGTTTTGAGTAAGTCCTTTCCCAGCCCCCACAAACAGACAAACAACTTATGTAAACATCGAATCTGTTAGTTTCTAGAGTAAGCAGATATACTAAGGTTCTGGTAAGGAATGTACACTCAGGGGGAAGTTTCTGTTTGGAGACAGGGCCTTGTTTTGCTCTGACACTTCAAGATAGTGACAACCAGTGTGCTGCTGAGTGTCAGGGATCCAGCAGAAAATGAGCAGGTTTTCTGGTATAGAAGCTCGGAAAGCAACAGCCATCAAGGATAGGTTGAGAAGATCCTGTGGAAAAAACGTTTGGGGAAGGGAGGCCCTAATTCCTGCTGGATTGAATGTCCTACGATGACTTTATACTTGGAGGTGAATGACTGAACGCTTCTCCCTGTGGTGCAGTACAGGAAAAAGACCGTCTGGTCTCTCTACTTTGAACCGTGTAGTTGAGGCTGAAGCAAGAGCACCTGGGAGGCACAATCTCTTACATGGCCAGACCTACAAGACCCACTAACCAGCTGTGGCATCCAGAAAGCCAAAGCACAGAAATCAACAGCATCTTTCCACATTAGTCATGACCATGAAATCTGAAAACTACAGTTCTCTTCACAATAGCACCAACAAACAAACAAAACAACAACAATAATAAAACACTTAACAAAAGAAATGTAAGACTACATGGAAAACTAGGAAGTGCTGCTGGAAGCAACCAAAGAGAATCTAATGGAATGGACATAAATATAGTGTTTTTGGATCAGAAAACAATAATGTAGCTATTGGGACCCATAAAGATGGCTCCGATTTATCAGTGTTTCCCACTTAGCTCTACAGTCAACACAGGTATGGCCAGGCTGCCAGCTATCTCTTTTTGTAGAAATTGGTAAAACTGACCCTAAACTTTCTTTAAAAAATACTTAAAACTTATGTATAAGTATGCTGGTATGCAAATGTGCATGTGGATACCCACACATTGAATGCTCCTGGAACTGGAGTTACCGTAGGTCGTGAACTGTCTGATGTGGACACTGGTCATCAAACTCAGGTCCTCTGGAAGAGTAATGGGCACTCTTAACCACTGAGCCATGTGATGATATATTGTTTTTGATTTAATAACGTCAGCCTGGGGAATCAGAATACAAAGCTAGCCACACCAGTTAGACATAGAAGCTGGGCAGTGGTGGCACACACCTTTAATCCCAGGAATCAGGAGACAGAGGCAGATGGATCTCTGTGAGTCCAAGACCACTCTGGGATAGATGAAAGTAAATCAGTCTAAAAGACTAATGGAACTCACACGTTTAATCCCAGCACTAGAGAGGTATATAAGGAAGAAGCAAAGGGTCTCATGTGAGATTCAGTTTCCAGTCACAGGGAAGACAGGATCTGCATTTCAGCCTTGGCAGAGGTAAGAGCTGTTGACTTGGCTGCTTTGCTTTTCTGATCATCAACTTGAACCCCAATATCTGTCTCTGAGTTTTTATTATTCACGTTACAGAGCCATGTCTCCAGTCTCTTACCCTAAACTTTCTGTGCAAATATAAAGGATCTAGAATAACCAAAACACTATGAAAAAAGACAGTAATGGAGGACACACATTTCCCAAT